AAAAAACGTGGATATTGAAGTTATCTTTTTGCACCTAAAAATTCTGTTAACAAAAAGTACATGAACATTTTTTCTATGAACAGTCATAGAATTAGGCTTGTGAAAACTAGCATTTTAAACTAAGTTTCAAATTAGAAGTGTTGCAATATTGAAGATTAACTTAAGTTACTCACCTATATACAAGTGGGAGATTAACCACTAAACAGAAAATCTAAACCAACTTTAAGCATTTTGGTAACAGATTTTATCCTGGTTTAAATTTAGTTCCTACAAATTTAATCAGTTCTTTAAAAGTTTAATTTGAAGAGCACATACATAAAGGAACATATGCATCACATTGTCTGTTTCTTGCTAACCTCTATGTCATAAGGCAAACAAACTTACAATACTAGACCTGCTACCTAATAATGAGATGTATTAATTGTGGAACAGATTAGTTTCATAGATATATGGTCCTTTAGAAGCTTGATAAAGGCAAGTTACAGTACAACAACGTTAAACCTGAATACCAATTCGTCAAATAGTAATTAAATTTTCAGGCTAGCCCTGTGCTTTGTTTTGGTTTAATATGCAAAATAATCTTTTACTAGTTATGTTCAAAAATCTGTCAGAAAGTCTCTCATAAAACTGATTTTGCTGATTTTCACGTTTATAATAGCACTAAGTAATTGCAAAAATTTGAAAAAGACATAGAAAATAATCCTTCATTTCATTAATAATCTCAGTAACTCAATTCTCCACTCTTCAAAAAATAAAGCCAGCCTTCATGCCTAAGCAACTCACTAGTGATACTACAGAATGCTGTATTTTACCTTCAAAAAGCTTCCAGTTAAGACAAAAGAATAAAAAAAAATTTCACACTACCTTTTTAATTCACAAAACCTTAGGGCAATTGATTTGTTTCACCTAATGCATTGCTATCTTGACTTCTTGAAGGTGCAACTCAAAACTACTTACACCAAACATGGAACCCTTCTAGCAGTTCCTAAGTAACTTTGCAGAGCTATAGCACTTCACTGAGAACTCTTTAATCTGACCTTTTAATCTAACATCCTTTTAAAGAATTTCCAAATGGGAAAACAGAAAGATGAGTCGATGGACACCAGCTAGCAACTCATGAAAAAAAGTGATGAACAGATTAGTACAGCCATTACGAGTGCACAAGTAGTTTGCAGTTCATGCAGAGAAGGAAAGAATTCAGTGTTGTACAACTGACACTTCTGGGAACTGAGGTGAACTTACAAAAATAAAGACAAAGGAAGTTACTGAATGAATTGCTGGGAGGTACAAGTTGCTCTCATTAATAAGGCTACACAAACTAGAAAGACAGACTGCCATACTACAGCATTTTCATCTTATTCTAAACAGAAGTAAGTGGAAGAAGGGATGTGAACTATTCCTGGAGGTCTTCCCTTTACAACTCAATTTGCTAACAGTATTTGAACTTTAAACATGAACTGACACTACAAGGTAAAATTAGACATGATTATGTAGATTAGTATATCTCTAACACAGGCCCAGGGAGTCTGGGATAACTTTAATACAAAAAAATGAACGATTACTTTTAATGAACAAACCATTTAGAATCTGAATGTTTCCACTTGAACGTTACTAAGAGCATAAAAATATATACTAACATAAATACACACATATAACAACATTCAGTCCACCTGAATTTAATACATTGCAGTGACGACTCACAAACACATTTTAATAATCTTCTAGATCTGTAGTAGTACAGATGACTGTAATAGCAGTGACCTAAAAAACATTCCGTTGTCACATTAAAATAAAATTATCTGTCAGATTTTTGTATCTTGCAGAAAAACAGATAATCCAGCATAAAACTGGTCCCAAAGATGAGCAATGACTCACTAATGTCAGAGAAAAAAATAAATATTTTAATTTCACACCTTAGACTCAACTTTCCTTTGAACAACTATTTGTGGCACTTTTAGAACTTGTCTTCTTGGGGACAATTTGAAAGCCAGCTAAACTAGCTAGCTAATCCTCCAACTTAATAGCATGATTCAGTAAGTAACACTACAACATCAGGGTATTTGACAACAGGCAAGGCCTCAAACTTCAAAAAAGACAACCACTCCACATTAAAAAGTAGCCCAATTAAGCTGGCTTGAAAATACCCTCCTGTACAACACTTGATCTTCAAAGACACAGACCAAATGGCTGCAGTTTTGCACTCTGCTCTTTTTACATGGCAACTGTTTAGTCTCAACTGATCTAAGTGATCTGAACTCAGAATGCCCATATCCTGGGCATAGCATGGTATTAACAGAAAGGAATATCACTGGTATTTCCTAGAAAATGCTCACCTGCATCCAAAGGGTATTTAACATATATTACAATGGAATAAAATCTGTTTCAACCGCTGAATTTTACCTGAGACAGAATAAAAGGTTTCTCAAGCATTACGATTGCCAAAAAGGGTGATATGATACACAATCTGGAAGTTCTACTAACTGGAATTCAACAAGTTAAATATGTATTTTTCTAACCAAAAAAGAAAATAAAAAAAATGGAGAAATGTAATAATTTTGGAAGACAGAATTTCAAATTCCATTTTGATTCCACATTACTATACTGTTCTCGAAAGATAAATGGCTACCTTTAAAAGTGATGACCTTGAGAGAACTACTGAAGTTCAAGTTAAATATACAGGTAAAGTTTTCAAAATATTTGTTAATGGGAAGCATAGAACAATTTTTAAACTTTTCTTGATACATAATGATAATTATCATCTAGTAGCTTTTCTTACATGACACATGACAGCTGTTCCTAAAGCAGAAAAATTCAGAGAATTTTAAGTCTGACCTGAGTTTCAAAGCATTTAAAGAAGATACAGAATTACACTGGTGAGACTATAGCACTGTTTCCTTTATCCTGGACTTCTCATTCTATCTTCAGACATTGAAAATTTTTTTCAAAAAACAAAACTTCAGAAGACATATATGTAACTTCGATTGTCAGAATAAAAAATGCAGCAGATAAAAAAAGTATTTTTTTCCCCCCAGATAACATTTTACAAAGCTAAAATGTTTTCATTTTGGACTGAAAGCTCGAAACCTCATACAGACTTCGCAGTTGGCATTTTGAATCCTTCTATACTAAATTTGGACTTCCTTATGTACAACCACCTTGCCCCTAAATACATTCAAGGAGCAAGACACCAAAAAGTAAAACCAAGACTAAACCAGTAAAAAAACCTCTTTGAAGACAAAATAAACTAATAATTATAATAAAAAAATTTGTTGGTTTCTACTCATTTTTTCACTGATAAGTGTGAAGTACTGCCCTGCAAAACATTCCTCTAGTCAAAGAACTATTGTTTGAACAAAAGTTATGAAGTAGTGATTTTTGCTTAAACTTTACATTTTCATTTGAGGTTTGCTTAAGAAAAAACATGACTTGAACAACACTGAATTTAGTCAATAGTGGTTTAGTTGCTAATACAGCTAAATAACACACCAAACGTCTAAACTTCAGTTGCTTGCACTAATGTAAGTGTATAATCCCTCAAAAAGAGAGTTCCATTGGTTTAGGCTTTCACTAAGAAACATGTAGCAGAAGTTCCACATACAAAAAGATCCATAGTTTTCTGCATCTGTTTAAATTTCAGTCTAGCAATTGTGAATTAGGGAATAACAGGAACATTCTAAACATTACTGGAAAGTGAGCTTAACATGAAAACAGGAATCATGTCAGGCACTACAAGAAACCAGTATTATATAAAGCAAAACAACTGATAAAGTCATGCAAAGAAGCAGAAAATACCTGTACTGAGCCACCATGTCTGTCAGCTGTTAGGTGAGCCCTCAAATGATGTGGATTGACGTGCTGTGAGTCCCAAGCTGCCCTATGATCTGTTGACTATCGTTTTTGAATGCATTAGGAATATATGCAAAAGAAGAAAAAAAAATTCCAAAAATAAACAATTCATGTATTATTATACATTATTTCTTAAATGCATAGAAGCAATACATACTCAATTCCTATATAGATTCTACATCAACATTATCTGCATACTTACATATGCCTACACATATATTTTCATGGAGAAGTAAAGTAGCTAAACTCAAAATTCCTAGTAAGAAACAAAGTCCACCCACACAAGCCTGTAATTAGGTAAACAGACACAGATCTAAAGAAGGGTGACTAAACTAGCGAAGGAGCTGGAAAATAGAACTTATGGGGAGCGTCTAAGGGAGTTGGGGCTGTTTAGCCTGGAGAAGAGGAGGCTGAGGGGAGACCTGATTACAGCCTACAAATACTTGAGAAGGGATGGAGAGGAGGTAGGGGAGGGGATCTTTACATTAGTGATGGGTGATAGAACAAGAGGAAATGGGTATAAGCTTAGTCAGAGGAGGTTCAGGTTGGATGTTAAAAAGTATTTCTTCTCTGAAAGGGTTGTCAGCTACTGGAATAGGCTGCCCAGGGAGGTGGTTGAGTCCCCATCCCTGGATGTGTTTAAGAAAAGGGTGGATGAACTGCTTAGGGACATGGTTTAATGGGGATTAGTGACAGTTGGACTGGATGATCTCTAAGGTCATTTCCAACCTAGAAAATCTATGAAATCCATGAAATCTAAATTCCCAACGTTTTTACCACCTTGGTCATTACTTTGATTTAAAAAAGAAAAAGTGAAAATGTTATACATACATGTTAGAAACCAAACAGATGATATACTATATGAGGAAGAGACAGTGATTAGAAACAGAGAACTAAAAAAATATTTTAAAAAGTATCAGTAGAGTGAAAATTCACTACTGATGCAAGCTATATTATTTCACAGAATCAAACAAGCAACCTTTGAGGACTTTAAGGTCCACAGACCTTGAAATACAGTAACAAGGACTTACTTACATCAAAGAAAAAACAAAGAAGATCTGGACTCAGTTTTATTTTTGAGTCCTAATAAAAGTAAACAACATAGCACAAATCATTAGACAAATGACAAAGTAACGCTGATAGTCTTACATGAGTTTACCTGATTTTTGGACTGTTGCATTTTATCTCTGTGCTGATATGCTTCTCTGTTTGAAGACAGTGCAGGGTCTGAATGTATTGAACCCACCGGAGTAGGCTACAAATATAAATAATATGTAGCAACTGGTAAAAAAAATAAATTTCTAAGTCTTACCAAAAGTTACTGGTTTGTAATAGAAATTAGTCTTTAAATCTGACAGTTTCCCCTAACTCAAAATTATCAAATTAAAGCAAAAGCTTTACTCGGTATTTACAAATACCAAAAAGAAAAAAAAGCCAAACCAAAACTTACACAATTTCATGAAGTAGCAATTCTATGATCCTATAAACATTAATTTTCTGGAAGACTTAAGGCTGATATTTTCTGCAGTTGGCAGCTAGAACATTGTGATGGAAGTCCAAAGAATGGCTTTAAGTAATTTTTAATGCTAAACACTGAAAGAAGAATTAGCAATAAAATACTACAATTCAGAGCCATACAAGTCATACAAGAAATAGTCCAACACAATAGTCCACACACAACTCCTTCCTTACTTACTAAAAAAAAGCAGGGAAAAAATTGGTGCTGAAAAAGTAATCGTTTAGCATTTATTTAAAGACTACAAACAGTATTTTCTCTAACTTTTGATGCACTGTGACGGAAACAGATATTATATACGTAGTATTTCATTAGAACAATGCATGTAAAGTATAGACATTTTTTCCCCCCTCGTAACTATCTGGAGTATACCTTAGATGCAGTGAAGTGATTGCTCCACGTTTTAATAATAAAAATATTGGGAGCAAGAAAGTCCCCAAAGCAAGAAAATATATGCAATAGTGACAATTACCGGCAAAGTTTTAAACTCGTTCTTCCACTAAAAGACTTCCTACAACCTCATTTTGGATTGAACAGAGATTTACTTTGATACTAAAAATACATGTTTGGAAAGAGACTCAACATGAAACATCTCAAGTCAAAAGATAATGTTTGAAAACCTGAAAACAGGTTTGTAACAGCAGCTGTTCACACCTCTAATAGGAGCCATGAGATGTACATGCATTCCAAAACTCAAGACTAATACTGGCTTAAAATTAATCACACAAAAAGACCCCAGTATATTACCAATAGCTTAATTGTACTCACCAACTGTTTGCCAATCCAGTCATATTCATAATCAAACATATAGCCTTTTCGATCAAGTAAGTCTGTGAAGAGCTTCCTTAAGTAGTCATAGTCTGGCTTTTCGAAAAAATCTAGCCTTCTTACATAACGTAGATATGTAGCCATTTCCTCTAAATAAATAAGAAATGTAAATAATTGCCATACCTGTTCTAATGGCACTCAGAAACCAGTACTTACTACTACATTTTAAAGCAATTTTTACCTCTCACCATGAAACCTGAACAGTTTACCATGAATCTGTGAATTACCAGAAAGAAAAGTTACTTAATAGTAATAATATTCTTCAAGATATACTGCTATATTCTAAACATATACTACGAAGTGACCCTCCACTAATTTTCCCTTTACATTACCTGTCAAGAACTTCCACTCAACCTTCCAATCCTCATGTACAGTGTGCCAACAGAGCTGGGAAAGAAATGCCTCTACTTTTTAATTTTTTTTTCCAATTAATTATACAAAAAAAAAAGCCTAAGGAAAGGTAAAGAAGGGGGTATATGAATGTACAGAGTGGACTATGTCTCAGAGAACACCTGTTGCTGGAACGTATTCTTCCTTAAAAGAGGATCCACATGCAGGTTCTGAAGTGGGCAACTCCAGTTGTCCTGGCAAAACCCATTTGGTACAGACTCTGTTGAGCAGTAACTGTAGTATGACTATGTGCCCTGGTTTTAGCTGGGACAGAGTTAGCTCTTCTTTTTAGCAGCTAGAAGAGCTCCGTGTTTTGGTTTTACTCAGAGGCTCGCTCTGAGAAGAATGTTGATAGCAAGCTGATGTTTGTGGCTGGAAGTGAGACTCCAAGGACTTTTCAGTGTGCCATGTTCTGGCCGGAGTGCAGAGGCACGGCGGGATAAGGGGGGAGCATAGCCGGGACAAGGGGGACACGATTCCCCTTGTGATTTGTGGTGGAACTTAAGATTGAGGGCCAAACTGGCCAATTAGTATTCCATATCATGCAGCGTCATGCCCAGTGTAAAAGTGAGGGACAGCCGGACAGAAGGGCTTTTGCGCTTTGGCTCTTTCGCTGCTTCTACTCTTTTGCGCTTGCTGCGCTTTTGCTCTATTGCCTTTTTTTCCCCCTCTCTCTCCCAGTACTCCTACTCTCGGAGTACTACCTCTCTCTGCCCCTCTCTATTTTGAGGCCTCGCGTTCGTCCGGGATTGCAGCTTCGGGACAAGACCGGCTTTGCATAAGAGGGGGTGGTGAGCATCTACACTGTGTATTACTTATCTGTATTAAGTTGTTCTTATTTCAACCCACGGGTTTCCCATTTCTCCTTTAATTCTCTCCGTCATCCCTGGGGCTGGGGGAGGGTGAGTGAGTGACTATGTAGGGTTTGGTTGCCGGAGCGGCCTAACCCACGACACTATGGACGGCTGCAGCAGCACTGAATGCTTCAGGCATCAGGTTATGTGGACGTACTGAGCAGAAGTGGCAAATATCCTGAACAGAAACACTGCAGAGAATTCCTAGAGATACCTGAGCTCCTGTAGAACGACTTCTGACAAGTGTCAATTTAGTATCACTGTTTAAATACCATGTCAGCATACAAATGGAGATTCATTTGAGTAGGCGTTACATGGAAATGATAAGATTCTCATAGTAGAGGAAACAACCAGTGGGATTCCTGAAAGAGCCTGGACCTGTCAAGACAGAAGGAAAGAGCTTTCCTGGTCCTTAAAGGGTACGAAGTACAGACTGTGCACTAGCAGCCAAAACCTTGTAGTTAAGACAAGAGTTCCAGCACAAACCTCCTGGCAGGTGACTAGAGCATACAGAAGTCCCATTCTTGATAATGGGTATGAGCCATTACATGCTTCTGAGACAACAGCTGTAAGGAACAAGCATCATTATGGACAGATGACTACAAGAATTGAAGGGCTGAAAGGGAGGACCCACAAACACATGAAGCACGAGCTTCAAATTCCCTTGAGAAACTGCGCAGACACATGACTACATATGCAATAACTCCTTCAGGAATCAGCAAAATGAGAGGCATGTGGAAATAAAACAGTCTGAGAAAACAGTAGATGGCGAGAAAAGAGACAAATGTTAATAAGCTTTCGAAAAAGACCAAGTCCTATAGATCCTCCCACTCCAGCAAGTACTATAAAAAAGAACTAAAGTATCAGAACAGTGACAAGAGCAACAATCTAACCATACTGAAATTTTGTTTAATTCAGATTGCATTCCTCTGCACCTTCCTGTTACCGAAAGGAGGAAAAAAAAAAAAGAAAAGAAAAGAAAAGATCACACAAAAAGAAAAGATTACAGTGCAGTGGTTTGGAATAGAGCACTGCAATAACTTCTCACCATCTGATATGGATAAGGTGAAGCCCTTGACCTTCGTCCTGGGACATACGCTCCAGGTAAACAGAGGTCTTAAAAATCTAACTTTTGTAGCTCATAAAAGAGTGGGAAAACACCTACTGGCAAGCCACTCCAAGAAAAGCAATGACTCCTCACTCTCAAGCCATGGCCCCAAAGTACAAGAGAAGGCTCCTCTATATGACCAGAAAGTCAGAGTATGAATAAGGTCAAAAGTAGATGCGACCAGCACTCACTGATTCTATGAAGAGGTACGTATGTCAGAAGCAGCACAACAGTATCATCGCACACACACCCTGACCCACACATCACATTCCAGTACGTCTGGAGAAGCTGACATTTTGTGGTACAAACAAGGTGTTGTAAGACCATCTACTGACAGAGGATGGCTGAGAAGTGCAGCAGCAGTGCTAAGACTGAGCTATGCTAAATTAAACTCTTTCAGAGATACTAGGGTGGAAAGAGGGACAAATGAAGGTTTGAGACCAGCTTGATAATAAAAAGTTGTGAGGCAGCATCATGCTGATGCTGTCAAGAATGCACCTGGGGACAATGATGCCAAGACATCCCAAAATACTCAGTTCTGACAAAACCAGAGTATTAAGTGCTATATTTCAGGCATTAGCAGATGAAGCAGTGGATAGGAGGAATTCCTTGGCACATAAAGTCCAGTTTAGCAGACAAGCAAGACTCTTCAGTGACACTAGCCAAGGAAATCAGTGTTTGAAGAAGGTGAAATGTTGACACATTGCCAGGGACCTCTTTAACCATACTTTCCCAATGTAAACTGGAACCCAAACCATGCAAGGCATGTCTTCAGAGGTATGAGGACTGGAACTGAGCCATTCAATGCAGCTAAATCTGTTACTACTGGCTTACTGCAAAAAAAAAATACCACCCATATTGTGCATTTGAAGCAGAAACTTCAGAGTTTAAATCCTGGCTCGTATTTTATACGAGGCTTTAAAGAGCAGTAGTGTTGCACACTCAAATACAGTACAATTCCACAGAATGGAGGATGAAGCAATGTGTTTCACATATGACAAAGACCAAAGTATTTCTCACTGATACTACAGAGTTCTCTTACTGAACATCCATCAGCTAGCTCAGTTTGCAGGCAGACTGAAGAGAATTGAACTGATGGTGGATGTACTTCTCATTCTACTCTGTCTTAAGTGACAAGAAGGACAGGAAAATGTAGAAAACCCTCAGATATTTGAAATGTAAAAACTTCCACATACAAGAATGTATTTATTATGAAAATGTACACAGGTACTATCAAAGAACTTTATCTTTTGTTTTCTATCTTCTCCCTGTTCCATTTTCAGATTCAATCCCATCAATAAGCATGTACTTGATTAAATTTGCTGGAAACAGTCCACTAGATGTATGGAGCTACTCATGCACAATTAGTTTCAGGAATTGCACCATATACATCTTAAATTAGATAATTATTTTTTAAAGGATTCTAGCAACTACACAAAAGTCAACATACAAGACATGCATGCATTTATCGATGCAGAAGACTTATATTCCAGAACAGTTTCCCCCCACCTCATATTTAAACTTCAGTCAATTCACCAAACATACATTCAGACATTTGCTCTAATTTCTGTAACAAAAGCAATTTCACTTGACTATATTATTTTTTTTTTAATGCACAGAAGTGAACTGAAAAGCATAAATTGGTAATGGAATAATTTTTACCACAGGGTTGGAAAGAACTTCGAAAGGCCATCTAGTACACCACCCTATCCCATAGCAAATTGACTACAGCCTTGTCTGTCTGGTTTGTTTTCGCACAACTCCAGTGAAAGAAGCACCACAGTCTCCCTGGCAATGGTAATCCCTTCATGCTCGTCACTATATTTGAAACACACGAGTTCAAGTTTAAACTGAACTCTTTTGCATTATATCCATCACTTTGTCCTAGCTCTGTGGATGTAGCAAACTGATTCACATTTGTAGCAGCCAAAAGGTACAGGAGAACTTTCCCTCAGAGTCTTGACTAAACCAATATACATTCCATCAGTCTTTGGTGGCAGGTCTAGCAAACACATAGGCATATAAGCACTCCCACCTTTATGAGATACCTTTAGAATAGGATACATTTGCTTGAAGTACAGTCCCCAGAATTGAACACACTGCTTCAGCAGAGGGTTTACAGAATCAAGTAGAGTGGAAGTAGCAATTTATGTGTCTCTCACGCTATATCCCATTTATATAATCCAATTTAGTATAGGGTTTCTTTGGTTGCTTTTAAAAGCATAGCAGCATGACACTGTTCACAGTATTTACTTTGTGACTGACTGACTTTTGAGTCATTACCTAAGGAATCTTTCCACACCGAATAATTCTTCATTTAGATTTGATCCTATATTCATATACTACCTTGAATATGATTTATTGAACTGTACCTTATATTTTTAAGACTGTATTTATAATCTGTCAAGATCTTTTCATTCTAAGCCCACTGTTGAGCCTACAAACGTCAAACTTATTTGCAAATTTAATAAACATTCTCAGTTATATGAGGCACTCAAAAACACTGAACAGATCCAGCACAGATCTCTATGAAATACCATTTCATGTTTCTAATCTGGCAACAATGTACTTACCCATTTCAAATTGTTTTACACTCTTCTTCCCATGGCAGGTTCCTCTTGGTTACACTTTTAAGATTACTTGTGAGGATATTTAAAAAGAGCATCAAAAGCAAAAGCACTAAGATTTCATGACATAAAACATCTGTCTCCTGTCCACAAGGTCTGCTGTGGACGCGATTTCCTTTCATACGGGGCAATCAAATCTCTCTGTCATGAGCTATTCTCCGCAAATCCATTTTGCCTATCGATGATATAGTATTTACTTTTTCTTTTTTCAAAATAATGTCCATGCCATGTGTATGTGTGTGTCCTGTCTCGAGCTGACTATATTTCCCTCTCTCCAATTTTCCAGTATCTCATTGCTTCTTTTTGCACATAGGGAGAACTAGAAGTGACATCTGAAACCACTTGCAAACTATTTTAAATACTATTTTAAGCTATACCTGATGCAGCTTGCTTTAAAAAAGGATAACGGATTTGAGCCGACAAGGCTTGCAAAATTTTGTCTGAATATACAAATGTAGACTAGTTGATCACCATAAGAATATGTATAATTTTTTTTAATGTTTCCTTTAGAAGAATCTGTCTATGAAAAACATCAGCATTAGCTTCAAATAGCAATTCTTTTATCTATTACCATAGCGTACAATACACATATTTGAAAGCATTATTTTATTTATTTTTAAAACAAGATATTAAACAATCATCTATGCCAGTTTCGTTTTCTAAATCAATATGCAACATTTTTATTAACAGTAAACATTACCTGGGAAGTTTTCACACAATACATCTATAGGAGTTGCTCGTTTTGTGTCTCCAATTTTCTGGTAACGTTCTTTTAATGTATCAGCCTATGATACAACAACAAAACAAGCTTCTGAAGTCATACAGCTTGCAGACAAACTTTTAAAAAGAAAAAGATCATGCTAAGAAAAGCCCATGATCTGAAAATAGGATAGAGGAAGACATCAAAACCCACTACCTTTAAACCTTGCCACGGAAGGCTTCCTCTGAGAAAATACATAAACATATGACCTAAAGCTTCCAAATCATCTCTTCTACTTTGCTCTGTAACAAAATTCAAATATTATTAGAACATTCAAACTGCATAATTTTACATTTTATTTAAAAGGTTACTTCCAAATTACGTAAAAATAACTGGGAGGCATAAAGTACTTGAAATCAAACTGAGCATGTGGGAGGTTTCTTGTGTACTATGGACTCTACTGAGAACACAGCTAAAACAAAAACCTGGGGGTCTTGGTTGACTACTGGCTTGATATGAGCCAGCAGTGTGCCCAGGTGGCCAAAAAGGCCAATGGGATACTGGCGTGTATCAAGAATAGTGTAACCAGCAGGAGCAGGGAAGTGATCCTGCCCCTGTACTCGGCACTGGTGAGGCCGCACCTGGAATATTGTGTCCAGTTTTGGGCCCCTCGCTTTAAGAGAGATATTGAGCTCCTGGAGCAAGTCCAAAGAAGGGCGACTAAACTGGTCAAGGGGCTGGAAAATAAAACTTATGAGGAGCGGCTGAGGGAGTTGGGGCTGTTTAGCCTGGAGAAGAGGAGGCTGAGGGGAGACCTGATTACAGCCTACAAATACTTGAGAAAAGATGGTGAGGAGGTGGGGGAAGGACTCTTTACATTAGTGATGGGTGATAGAACAAGAGGAAATGGGTATAAGCTTAGTCAGGGGAGGTTCAGGTTGGATGTTAGGAAGCATTTCTTCTCTGAAAGGGTTGTCAGCCACTGGAATAGGCTGCCCAGGGAGGTGGTTGAGTCCCCATCCCTGGATGTGTTTAAGAATAGGATGGATGATCTACTTGAGAATATGGTTTAATGGGGATTAGGGATGGTTGGACTCGATGACCTCTAAGGTCTTTTCCAACCTAGAAATCTATGAAATCTATGAAATCTATGAATTTGAAACAATTTAAGAAAGCTTTAATTGAACTCACTTTTCCCCTATAAAATCAAGAAAAAGATGTTATTTTTCTCAGGGACTCCTCATGGAATTTCTGAGTAGGCCAAAGGTGGACTGAAGAAGGCTCAGAAGTCTTATTTGACCAGAAAGCAGCATGGAGAGGCATATACATACAGACTGCTCTCAAGACTAGCTGACTTAAAAGCTAAGTTGCAGAAGACAATGTCTGGCATGGCTACAATTTTTCATCTGTACTAGAGCAGTGGCAGTCCTTCAAAAAGCTCACAGAAAGTTAAAGAAAATGGAAAGTAACAAGCAAAACAGTGCATTCAAAGTTTTCAAAGTACATTCCATAATATTTTTAAATAAAATCCATTACTCTTGGGAAAATTGAATGAATAGATAATAGTAAGAGTCTTTAAATGACTAGTAGAGAATACATTTTACATTTACTTCATTCTGTACTGCTGCTGACACACCTGTTAAGCAGCGTATTATGTTTTGGAGTAACAGGTAGCATTTATCTCGAACTTTTATTCCCTCTCTGACATAGGCAGAAGACCAAAGAATTAACATTTTTTCTAGTCAGTATTTTCAAAGACAAAATCATTATGCTTTGACAGCAAGAGAAATGGAGCAGAAAAGTAAATGAAAAAATGTTTGTTAGATTTTGAACACAGGAAAGTTAAAGCCAAACTGGCTTTGATCTGATCAACCCAAAATATTGCTACAAATACATTGCACCTGAAAAACATATCTTAATTTTCATATATAAAGAATAATTTACTTATTACTCTGTTTTCTATCCTTACCTTCTAATTCGAACACTGAGTAAACACATACTAGCAAATGAATAAAATACTAAAAAATTGCATGGTTATTCAGAGCATGGGCTAAATCTAGCCCCTTACTTCATCACACATCTGCCAGCCATATGAGGCTTTTTCACAGTCATTTCTCTTTTACTCATTACCATGTTTCCACTTCCCTTCCCGGCACTCTTCTTGTTTGTCCACTGCACCACAACTATTGTCTACTCTTGCCACTTTTCTCAGTGAGTGCCCTCCAGACAATCTGGTCTTATATGAATTTCTCTGCCAACCCTGTAACGTTCCATTTGCTGACCATATGCTATCCTGATGCAACCATGTAGGTTAAGAAGAAAGCAGGAACAGCAGTAGAGGTCTGTGCCTGACAGGTTTCAGTATGTGAAGGAAACGTCGATCCCAGCTGCCTGCAGAAATCCCTAGCTTTTTATTAGATAGGGTGGACATGAATATGATGAGTACTTCACCCCGAGCACAGCACTGCTCATGACAAACATTTTGTGCAATGCAGTGTTTTATGCAGGACAGATCAGAGAAAAGATGGTGGCAAAGCATACACAAACATTCTGAGTGCGCAATAGATGGCCTATCTGTGAGGAACACTGAGGCATGGCCCACAAAAAATGTACTGGAAAGTTCTATTCAGTCTTTGTTAAGGGACAATAATTCCCCTCTTTTGCATTAACTTCTACGTTGATGAAAAATTAACGTCTGCTTTTTAAGAAAAACAAAACAACTTACTGAGGCAATTGCTCCTTCACTGAGAGTCCTTTCTATGAAAAAAGAAGCATTTAATCTTTACCCTGAAATTATCTCTAATTAAGAGGGTTGTTTTTTTTTTTTTAATGGAGGTGGTCCTGCTCCAGCAGGGGGATTGGACTAGATGATCCTTTGAGGTCCCTTCCAATCCCTAACATTCTGTGATTCTGTGTGATTCTGTGATCATTGGAGATATTACTGTACCATGGTTCTGTGGGAACTACTTCTGGGATACACTATTTGAATTCACAGTGTCTTCAAAAATCTACTTCAGGAAAGGATTTCTTGGTTTTTAATTTTTGAGGAAGAGGATTGTTATTTAGAATCCATTCGAGTTCTTCACTAATCGTTTTGGAGTAATTAAAAAATAGCAGTCAAATATCCTTTCCTATGGATTAAATTCTTCAAGATAAGCCCGAGAAACCAGAAACCCAAAGATGATATTGCTATCATTGGAAAAAGGACCTCTGAAAACTGGAAAAAAAAAATAGCTAGTGGACTAGCTAGAACACAAAAGGATTTTAAGCATCAGCTGGAGTAAGGGCTGCTGATGTACACTGATCCTAGTGCATCACAATTTAATGAGATGAGAGATCTGTTGCCTAAAAGGTAATGCGATCATAAGATGACAAACACACAGTAAAGCTTTAAGGCACACGGTTTCCTCTCTCTCAAAGAGATCACCTGAAGCTAGCTAAATTAGTAAGAAACTAATACCTGTTATTTAGTTCACAAGCTATACGTGAATTAACCATCCCAATTCAAATAGGTTGATTTTAGTAACAACTAGAACTTCATTTAGCAGGCTATCTCCAGAAATTCTTTTTTCAGCATGCACAGAAGGTAATCATAACACAGGTCAAACAACATATAGTCAGTCTCCAGTAAGCATCCATTATAAACAATGCATTCTCCATACAAAGAAAATTTTACTGTTTGCTATAGGAATGCTGAAATCTATTTGGATCAGAAAACACAATATTAGCTACCAGGATGATTACACAGTTTGATATGCAGACTTGTTACTGTAATCACAAAGTAGATGGAAAGTGACAATCGACACATCCTGAACTGTCAGTCTATAAAGTTGAGCAAAAAATAAATTCATAAGTTATCATCCAGAGTTTGTAGTCTTACTAAAAACGTTATGATTCCATGCAACAATATAATTTGAGGAAAATAGCATCCCTTCCTGAAGAAAATCATGAATACTGAAGCTAATGATGCTGGTTCTTAAAAATAAAGTTTTATGCCTATTTTATCATAAGCACACATTGTATGCCATACTGTTATGTTGAGAATAATATGGACTTCATGGAAGAAGTCCTATTTTCAGTTGTACCTTTAATTAACGAAGCAAAGATTTATTTAGCTCAGTTTGTATTAGGAGCATTGTTTCATATAATTATGCATTTACAAGTTTAGTTTAGACAGAAAAAGGTATTTATCTGAGGCAGCTACAATCCTGCCCCTGAGGTGCAGTAATAATTCAGCAGGTATGAGAAAGGGCCTAGTAAACTTCCCATGGGAGTCCTAGGTCTGGAAAAGGACTTCAACCTGCAAAACTGGCTCAGTGACAAATTAAAGTTCTAGGACTCCAGGAGGACCATCACCACAAAGCACAGTCTGTAACTGCAGAAAACATTTTTTTCTTTGAGTTTCTAGAAAAACTCAAGGATTTAGGCTAACACAATTTTAGGTCCAAACATTTTTTGTTCTTACTATAAGAAATGTATTAATCCAATGTAGTATTATTTTTCGCTGGTTTAGACTGAAAAAAAGTCAGGCCCCACAAAACTGATTTTAAACCTAGAACATACGACAGCTCTGATAAGAGAGCAGATCAACTATAAAGATAAGGGTGGGGGTTTTTTGGTTTTGTTTGAAGAAAACTGTTTAAAGAAATTGACTTCATTTGGCCTTCCAATTAACATTAAAGAGCAGAGTTGTTTCATTCCCAAGAGTGTCTCAGGCATTCATTGTAAGATAACTAACCTCTGGCTCTACAATAATTAAGCACTACCAAGAAAAACCAATACAACCAAGGATATTGGTTGTTCTCCACAGACTATTAGAGATAGTCATGTTACAGCAATTATAACTTAATATGACTACACTTCCTGTAGCCAAACAAATCAGACAATTCAATATGCTGTTTTTCTGAATTTAGGGAAATCCAAAAAAAAATTGCCAATTCAGATTTCCAGCAAATACAGAAAATTGTATAGATTTTTGTCTTCCTTAGATCCCAGTTAGCATCTACATTCTCTGCAATCCCTCTCTCCCTTCCTGAAAAGAAAAGGGAATGGAAAAGAAGCATGGAGTAATCCTATTCCCAAGAGAAACTTCGTTACAGAAGCAAGAGCACCAGCTATATGCTGGTAAGGGCTGCAGAATATTTGTAGCTACCTGAATAAAGCCACATTATTTTTCACATAGACAAAATACCTTCTATTCCAGATCCAAACTCCTAGCTTGGCTCAAAACTACCAGAAACCCTGGATCAAATGTATGTTTCAGGAAAAAAGATCATTGAAATAATCAGCTACACAACATTCA